CATCCATTCTTCCTTCCTTCTTCTCTCCCTTCCTTTCCTTTTCCTTCCATCCATCCATCCTTCCCTTCCTTCCTTCCTTCCTTCCTTCCTTCCTTCTTCCCTCTTCTTCTTCCTTCCTTCCTTTCTTCCATCCATCCATCCTCCTCCCCTCCCCTCTTCCTTCCTTCTGCCTTCCATCCATCCATCCTTCCTCCTTCCTTTCTTCCGTCCATCCTTCCCCCTTCCCCCCACCCATCCTTCCTTCCCTTTCTTCCTTTCTTCCATCCATCCATCATTCCTACCTTCCTCCTTTCCATTCAACCTTCCCTCCCTTTCCTTCCTTCTTCCTCCCTCCCTCCTTTTTTCCATCCATCCTACCCTTCCCTCTTTCCTTCCTCCTTCTTGTCCATCCTTCTTCCTTTCTTCCATCCTTCCTCCTTCTTTCCATCCACCCTTCCCTTCCTTCTTTCCTTCCCCCTTCCTTTCTTCCATCCATCCATTCTTCCTCCTTCCTTCCACCCTTCTTCCTTCCTTCCTCCTTCTTTTATTCCATTCATCCTTCCTCCTTTTTCCATCCATCCTTCCTTCCACCCTTCTTCCTTCCTTCCTCCTTCTTTTATTCCATCCATCCATCCTTCCTTCTTCCTTCCTTCCTCCTTCTTTCCATCCATCCTTCCCTTCCTTCTTTCATTCCCCCTTCCTTTCTCCCATCCATTCATTCTTCCTCCTTCCTTCCACCCTTCTTCCTTTCTTCCTTCCATTCATCCTTCCCTTCCTTCTTTCCTTCCCCCTTCCTTTCTTTCATCCATCCTTCTTCCTTTCTTCCACCCATCCAATCTTCCTTCCACCCTTCTTCCTTCCTTCCTCCTTCTTTTATTCCATCCATCCTTCCTTCCTTCTTCCTTGCTTCTTCTTTCCATCCATCCTTCCCTTCCTTCTTTCATTCCCCCTTCCTTTCTCTCATCCATTCATTCTTCCTCCTTCCTTCCACCCTTCTTCCATCCATCCTTCCCTTCCTTCTTTCCTTCCCCCTTCCTTTCTTCCACTCATCCATCCTTCCTTCCACCCTTCTTCCTTCCTTCCTCCTTCTTTTATTCCATCCATCCATCCTTCCTTCTTCCTTCCTTCCTCCTTCTTTCCATCCATCCTTCCCTTCCTTCTTTCATTCCCCCTTCCTTTCTCCCATCCATTCATCCCCTCCCTCCTTCTTCCTCCTTCCTTCCATCCATCCCTCCTTTCTTTCCTCTCCTCCTCCTTCCCTTCCTTCCCTTCTTCCTTCCTTCCTCCTCATTCCTTCCTTCCTTTCCTCCTCTTTTCCCCTTCCTCTTCCTTCTTCCCCTTCCGGTTCCCTTTCCTTCTTTAGGCTCCCCCCGGGCGTGGACCCCTCTGCGGTCCGCTCCTCCCTGTCCCCGGAGGGCCTTCTGACGGTGGAGGCGCCGCTGCCCAAGCCGGCCTTGCAGTCTGCGGAGATCAAGATCCCGGTCACCTTCGAGGCCCACGCCCAGATCCCCAGGCCAGAGGTCAAGAAGCCCGAGGAAGGGGCCGCCAAATGAGCCCCAAACATCTCGCTTCTCCCTTTTTTCTAAAACTGAGATTTGATGCGCATCAATAAATTCCTTCCAAACCTGCCTATGATTGAATATTTGGGTTGTTTTCCTGCCTAGAGTTGGTTGGAAGGGGCTCCAAAGGCCATCCAGTCCAACGCCCTGCACCTCTGGATCTACCTATGTTGTGTGCATAGCTATCTGTGTATCTCTCTCTGAATCATGACCTCTGCCAGGGCATGACCCAGCGGCCTGCTTGCATAACATGTGCTGAGGACGAATGGAGAGGTGTGTGCCCATGCGCCTGCCTCCCTTTCGGCCTCCTCCTCCTTCTCCTCCATCCCCATCCCTCCTCATTCAGTTCTTCCAAGCCTTAGCAACAGAGGAGTGATTTGGCAGCTTGCGCTCGCCTTGGCTCATTGGCTGCTGCACCACCGCTGCTGTGGCGCCCATTGGCCAGCCAGGCCCCGGGTGAGTGTGCCAGAGCGTGTGCAAGGCGCGCCTGCCTGACTGCCTGCTTGTGTGTGCCAGGACAAAAGGGGGTGGAGTGCGGCTTGTGAGGGAGGCATGCGCCACCGCAGTCCCCTTATGACCATGTTGCACATGGCACAGCCCTGGGAAGGTCAAGGCCTACTCTCCAATGGGGCCTCCTCGCATCCCATTGGATGCATTAGCACATCCCTCTGGCCCCTTGGAAGCAGGGGAGCTCAGAGATGGAAGGGCTCCCAAGGGCCAGCCACACCAACCTTGTTTACACTGTGCATGAACCCATATAGATAATAGAGATCTATCTTTGACACAGGAGCATGAATTTAGAAGGGATCCCAAGGGCTATCTATCTATCATCGAACCCTGACACTGCAAGGGTCCCAAGGGACATCTAGTCCAACCTATCATCTGCCTCTCTGTCTATCTATCTACTATCATAGAATCCTGATGTTGGAAAGACTTCAAGGGCCATCTAGTCCAACCTAACATCCATCCATCCATCATCGAATCCTGACATTAGAAGGACCCCAAGGGCCATCTAGTCCAACCTATCATCTCTTTCTCTCTCTATCATCAAATCCTGATGTTGGAAGGACCCCAAGGGCCATCTAGTCCAACCTATCATCTATCTATCTATTGAAAGATCTATCTATCTATCTATCTATCTATCTATCTATCTATCTATCTATCTATCTATCTATCTATCATTCTCAATACTTTGTAATCTTACTACTGATCGGAAAAGAGGTACCCCATAGGGCCCAGTCGTCGACAGATCCGCACACCTACCTCGTATCCTGTACCTAGTCGCCAATCGCGAATAAACTCCTATCTATATATCCACACACACCCACGTCCACCCACCCACCCACCCACCCACCCACCCACCCACCTATCTATCTATCTATCTATCTATCTATCTATCTATCTATCTATCTATCTATCATAGAATCCTGATGTTGGAAGGACCCCAAAGGCCATCTAGTCCAACTTATCATCTGTCTGTCTGTCTGTCTGTCCGTCTATCTATCATAGAATTCTGATGTTGGAAGGACCCCAAAGGCCATCTAGTCCAACCTACTGTCTGTCTGTCTGTCTGTCTGTCTGTCTGTCTGTCTATCCTATCTATCTATCTATCTATCTATCTATCTATCTATCTATCTATCTATCATCGAATCCTGAGGTTGGAAGGACCCCAAGGGCCATCTCGTCCAACCTATCATCTATCTATCTCTCGATCTATCATTGAATCCTGACGTTCGAAGGACCTCAAGGGCCATCTAGTCCAACCTATCATCTCAGTGGTTCTCAACCTGTGGGTCCCCAGACGTTTTGGCCTACAACTCCCAGAAATCCCAGCCAGTTTACCAGCTGTTAGGATTTCTGGGAGTTGAAGGCCAAAACATCTGGGGACCCACAGGTTGAGAACCAATATTCTAGATTAGGCATCCTCAAACTGCAGCCCTCCAGCTGTTTGGGCCAACTCCCAGATCTATCTGTCTATCTATCTGCTTCTATCTATCTATCTATCTATCTCTATCTATCTACTCTTATCTATCTATCTATCTATCTATCTATCTATCTATCTATCTAATATCTATCTATCTATCTATCTATCTATCTATCTATCTATCTATCTATCTATCTATCTATCTATCATCAAATCATGACGTTAGAAGGACCCCAAGGGCCATCTAGTCCAACCTATCATTTCTATCATCAAATCCTGACGTTCGAAGGATCCCACGGGCCATCTAGTCCAACCTATCATATCTCTCTCTCTCATCGAATCCTGACGTTGGAAGGACCCCAAGGGCCATCTAGTCCAACCTAGCATCTATCTGTCTGTCTGTCTATCTACTATCATAGACTCCTGACATTGGAAGGATGCCAAGGGCCATCTAGTCCAACCCCATAATCTTCCTATCCTATCTATAGACAGATAGATATATTAGATGGACAAATACATTAGATAGAGATAGATAGGAAGTTGGGACCCCAAGGGCCATCTAGTCCAACCTGCTATCTACCTACCATATATCCTCTGTCCGTCTGTCTATAATCTATCATTGAATCCTGAAGTTGGAAGGACCTCAAGGACCATCTAGTCCAACCTATCATCTCTCTCTCTTTCTATCATAGAATCCTGAAGTTGGAAGGGACTCCAAGGACCATCTAGTCCAACCCGCTATCTACCTATCATATATCCTCTATCTATCTATCTGTCTATAAACTATCATTGAATCCTGAAGTTGGAAGGATTCAATGACCATCTAGTCCAACTTATCATCTCTATCTATCTATCTATCTATCTATCTATCTATCTATCTATCTATGTCTATCTGTCCATCTATCTAACTTCTATCATAGAATCCTGAAGTTGGAAGGACCCCATGGGCCATCTAGTCCAACCTATCATCTATCTATCTATGCCTGTCTGTTGGAAGGTACTCCAAGGGCCATCTAGTCCAACTTATCATCTCTATCTATCTATCTATCTATCTATCTATCTATCTATCTATCTATCTATCTATCTATCTATCTATGCCTGTCTGTCTAGGTATCTATCATAGAATCCTGAAGTTGGAAGGGACTCCAAGGGCCATCTAGTCCAACCTATCATCTCTATCTATCTATCTATCTATCATAGAATCCTGAAGCTGGAAGGGACCATCTAGTCCAACTTATCATCTATCTATCTATGTCTGTCTATCTGTCCATCTATCTATCTTCTATCATAGAAACCTGAAGTTGGAAGGATCCCAAGGGCCATCTAGTCCAACCTCTCTATCTACCTATCATCCATCTATTATCTATTAAGAATCCTGAAGTTGGGACCCCAGGGGCCATCTAGTCCAACCTCCTGTATGATATTTATATATCGATATCAGTATCTATCTTTAACATAAAATTTTAGAAGTGGAAGGGACCCCAAGAGCCATCCAGTCTAACCCTCTATGTGTATGCATCTATATCTAAATTTATATTGTTATTATAATTATCTCATAGAATCCTAGAGTTGGAATGGACCTCACGATTCCTAAAATAGGTAGGGACCCCAAGGACCATCTAATCTGACTGCTTGCATGTATGTTCGTATCTGTCTGTCTGTCTATCTTATCTGTCAATCATAGAATTCAAGAGCTGGAAGGGACCCCCAAAGGCCATCAAGTATTATTATTGATGAGTTGAGAGGCTGCAATGCCGGCATCGTTCAGAAGGTGGCAGCCAAGACACGCGCAAAGGGGGCACCGCGGCCTGGCTCGGAGGGGGCGAAGGGCGCATGCGCAGCCTTTCTGCATTGCAGGGGGGAGGATTCAGTTATATTATTTTGGGGGGTGAGAAAAAGTGGATCACACTGGCTCTTAGGACAGGAGATCCCAGTCAACCCCAAGTATTTATTGTTTTGAATGGCATTGTGTGCGCTTGGGCAAATCACTCTCTCTCAGCCTCAGAAGAACCCAATCTGTCAATCAAACTTTGCATTGCTCTTGTTTGTGTGCCTTCGACTCATTTGGGGCTTATGGTGATCCTATCAAGGAATGGTGCACCAGGAAAACCACGGAACCATTGAACGAAGCCTGCCATAAGTCAAGAGCCTCCTTCTCTGACTGGGTGGCCATCTGTCCGGAGGGCTTTGATGGTGTCTTCCTTTACAGCAAAATGGAGTTGGACTGGATGGCCCCTGGGGTTGTAGAGTCTAATAATAATAAATGATAATAATGGATAAGAATAAGACTGTCTTCCAGCCTGACAGAAGGGGGCTGGATTGGATGGCCTTTAGGGTCCCTCCCAATGCCAATAATAATAATAATAATAATAATAATAATAATTTAATTCTTTCTTCACACCTGGCCACAGGGGTTGGACTAAATGGCCTTTAGGGTCCCTCCCAATGACGTGAGTCTAATAATAGTAGTAGTAGTAGTAGTAGTAGTAGTAGTAGTAATGATAGTAATAGAAAGTTAGTGCTTGTTAGCTGTTTAGAGTCCTTCCAAACCCTGGAAGAAGAGGAGGATAGTAATTCTGTTTTCCCGCCTGGCAACAAAGGGTTGGAATAGATGGCCTTTAGGGTCCCTCACAACCCTGGAAAAAGAGGAGGAGGAGGAGGAGGAAGAGCAGGAGAAAGAGCAAGAGGAGGAGGAGGAGGAAGAGGAAGAGAAGGACGAAGAGGAGGAGCAGGAGGAAGAGGAAGAAAAGAAGGAAGATAAGGAGGAGAAGGACGAGGAGAAAGAGCAGGAGGAAGAGCAAGAGGAACAGGAGGAAGAGGAGCAAGAGAAGCACAGGAGGAGGAGAAAGAGCAAGTGGAGGAGGAAGAGCAGGAGGAGGATAGGAAGAAGAGGAGGAGGAGGAGCAGGAGGAGGAGGAGGAGGAGGAAGAGTAGGAGGAGAGCAAGAGAAGGAGGAGGAAGAAGAGAGGAAGAGAAGAAGAGAGAAGAAAAGGAAGGAAGAGAGGAGGAGGAAGAGGAAGAGAAGGAAGAGAAGGGAGAAGGAAGAAGAAAAGGAAGAGAAGAGGAAAGGAGGAAGAGGAGAAGAGAAAGAAAGGAGGAGGAGAAAGAAAGGAGGAGGAGAAAGGTGGAGGAGGAAGAGCAAGAGGAGGAATGGGAAGAAAAGGAGGAGGAGCAGGAGGAAGGAAGAGGAGGAGGAGGAGGAAGAAGAAAGGAAGAAGAGGAAAGGAGGAAGAGGAAGAGAGAGGAGGAAGAGGAAGAAGAGGAGGAGAGGAAGAGGAAGGAGAGAGGAGAAGGAAAAGAGAAGGAAGAGGAGAAGAGGAACAGGAGGAAGAGAGAAAGGAGGAGGAATGAAGAAGAGGAAGAAGAGGAGAGGGAAGGAGGGAAGAAAGAAGGAAAGAAGAGCAGGAGGAGGAGGAAGAAGAAGAGAAGGAAGACCAAGAGGAACAGGAGGAAGAGAGGGAGGGAGAGGACACCAAGGAGGAAGAGGAAGAGGAGGGTGGTAAGTCTATCTTCTCGCCTGGCAGCACGGGGTTAGACTGGATGGCCTTTGGGGTCCCTCCCGATTCTGAGATTCACTCCCTTAGCTTCCTCCAACTACAGGCGCCTTTTCCCGCTTGGCCTTCTTCCCGGCAATGGCGATGCGCACTTGTGGGGTTGCTGTTTTGGTGGCGATCCCTTCCCCGTCTCCTCCGCTGCTCATGCTTCAGTTTGAGTCACCATGACTGTTACCAGTCAGGCGGAGACAGTATTCATCATTGAGCCATTCAAGAGCCGGGTCTTCGGGACTGGCGAATCATTGCCTTCTCCGGGGCGTTGCGACTCCCGACTCCTGGCTTAGAAAGGATGGGAAATACAATCATTACGAGTCGTGCCCGGGTCGGAAAGCAAACAGTGGGTTTCCCATCATCCCCAGCAAAAGAAGAACGAGTCCGGAGACAAGACCAGCGGTGAAGCCGCAGCACTGACATCAGATCTGTTTAAGTTTATTGGCTTCAATGTACGACGGCTACATAATGACTCACATTCATGATATTCCATCACTGAGGAAAACTGCTAAGAATGGTCCGTGTGTGAATTCATCCCTTACAGAAACACGGAGTCGGGAAAAAGAAAAGGAAAAAAGAAAAGGAAAAGTAATCGTAACCACTGATTCGACCTTAAAAAGAGTTCACTGCATCATAAACATGACAGAAAAAGCACAAACAAAGGCTTCATTCGTTTTTCTCCTACACTGTAATAGTTATAATTTCACCATGACGCACACCAGACATTAAGATTCGGCTAACACTGGTGTTTTCGTTTGCTTTCGGACTTTTTTTTTTCTTCGTAACTTCCGAGACTAAAAATAAAAAAGAGAACGAATTCGCATAGAATCGCATGTCACTATAGCAACATCTAGATCGGCTTCGTTACGGTCACTATTTGGGAGAGCAAACTTTATTTTTTTTTTAATTTTGCCCCCCAAAATTAAAAGAAAAAAATTAAAATAATTCAAAATAAATTAAAAAAAAACTTTTTTTAAAAAATCGCTGAAGACTATTTTGTCATAGGAATACATAACACCTACAGTATAAGTTAATAAATTTCAAGCTACTCTTATAGAAATACGACACCAGCATGCACAATATTGTATCAATAGAGTAATGGAGCAGTTAATTCATTTCACTGGAGAGACGGCTATCATAGGCAAGTGCATTTCTCGAACGAAAGAAAGAAAAACGAGAGGAAAAATATCAGAACCATTCAAGCTGCTCACAAATCCCCCCGAAACCCTCCCTCCGAATTGAGCCCTCTTGTGCGGTCTTGTCCCCCCTTTGCGCGTATAGTTTTCCTAAAGCAGCCAGAGCTAAAAGCGAGGGGTATATGAGAAGAAGAGACATATATATATATCGGTTTCTATATATATGTGTGTGTGTTTTGTGTAGGTGAAGGGGTTTCGTAATTCCAATAAAGCACTTCCAAACCAAAACAAAGCCACGGCTCATGCGACACGACGACGACAACGACGGCAAACGGAAAGAGAAGCGGGAAGATGTCCCTCCGGTTCCCCGACGTTTCGGGGCTCCGTCGTCCCAAATCTTTGCAAGCCTCTCCTAGTCTTCCTCGGATCGGATCGGACGCAAAAAACCCACCGGACGCAAAAATCTATCCGACGCAAACCGCCGCGCGGCAACAAAGCATGAGCGAGTGGCAGGTTTCTAAAGGAACGGTGTCCGCACCGACGCCGCGTTTACGAGCGTTTTGTTGGCCCCTCGGAAAAAAACAAAACAAAAAAAAGGACCCTTCTCGCAACGATCGAATGCGACGCAAAGACACGAACCACGAAAGTGACGTTCTCCCACTTTCGGCGAGGAAAAACGACAACATGAAAATGACTAAAATTTCCAAGAATCATCCTTTCCTAGAAAATTTACGCTATTATTTTTTTTATAATGTGAGACGTAATTTTTTATAATTTGAGACGTAATTTTTTAAAATTTGAGACGTAATTTTTTAGTATTTGAGACGTAATTCGTTTATAATTCGTTCGGGGGAAGAGATTCGGTTTCGGTGCTCAAGTTCCGGAGCGCCTACAATTTCATTCCAAATTTACTCTGCATTTTGGACAAGGTTGTCAACAACACGTGTTTGCATGCAGCAAAGACATAGAAGGAAAAAAGGCATCTCCTAAGTGATCTTACCATCCACCAATGCCGCATTTACGAGCGCTTTGTTGGCCCCTCAAAAAGAACAAAACAGGGACCCTCCTCATTGCGATCGAATGCGACGCAAAGACACGAGCCACAAAAGTGAGGATTCTCCCACTTTCGACGAGGAAAAACTTAAACGTGAAAACAACTAAAATTTCCAAGAATCATCCTTTCCTGGAAAATTTACCCTTTTCTTTTTTCTAATTTGAGACGGAAGTTTCGTTCGGGGAAAGAGATTCGGTTTCGGTGCTCAAGTTCCGGAGTGCCTACAATTTCGTTCCAAATTTACTCTGCATTTTAGACAAGGTTGTCAACAACACGTGTTTGCATGCAGCAAAGACACAGAAGGAAAAAAGCATTCGGTTTCGGTGCTCAAGTTCCGGAGTGCCTACAATTTCGTTCCAAATTTGCTCCGCATTTTCACCAAGGTCATCATCGGCAATGCGTGCTTGCATGCAGCAAAGACATGAAAACGAAAAAGGTATCTTCTAAGTGATCTTGCCACCCAGCAGAAAACCTTTGTTAGAGACAGCACGAAGGAGAGGTTGCAACCCCCTTTTTAGAGAAAGGAATCAAGAATGAATTTAGGGGCTGTCACAGGAGACGCCCAGAAATGGCATCAGTCCACTGGCTTCCCCTTGGAATATTTCAAATTCTAATTACTTCCATTCTCGCTATCCTTTCCTCCTGTTGATTCTTGGAAACTTCTATACAGCCGCTCGCCAAGCACCAATGAAAATGGCTATGAATCGGAACGAGGAAATTAAAGATGGTGGACTAAAGGAGAGCAAGCGAGTCAGGGAAAAAGAAAACAAAAGAAGAAGCAAAGCAAGTTCACACTCGATGGCTTGATGTCAAATATGGCTGTCGCGTAGAAATACTGTAAACTGCGGTTGAGCGTTAATACTGCGAGCTATCTTAAGTATCTCGAGAAAGCTCCAAGACGCGGGTGTTTTGCGAGTTTTTCGCCTGTAAAAGTGACGCGATCGTCAGCAAGTGGCGCTCCAAAACTAAGGACCGGGAGAAGAGACACACAACTAGTTAAACGTCACGATGGGTGAGGTTTATAAATAGGGGAAGAAAAGGAAACAAAGGAGAGATGGACCGAAAAAAGCTAACTGGAAACCACGGAACGGCAAACCAAAACGTGCAACGCAACGGCCAAAAACGAAAACGTTAAAAAAAAGAGGGCCATTCCATTCGAGTTAGTCATCGTCAACGCCTAGCGGTTAAGATAACTTAAAGACAGCTCCCCTGGTATTACTATTTAGTTGTCTACAGAACAGTCCATAATATGCCACTGCGAGGCTCCGTTCCTTCCTTCCTTCCTTCCCTTCTTCCCTTCCCAAACACGCCCCAGCCGGCCTGACTTCCCACGAGTGGTGTTTTGGCAAAAGTGTCAAAGAGGCAATCCAAGACAGGTTTGTGGGGAGCCTCCCGGGAAGGTCGCCCCTCCTCTCCCCCTCCCCTCCCCACCCCTGACCCCCTCCCCCCAAAAAACTGGTGGGAAAAAAACATAAAGACTGCAGGAGTAGCATCGGCGTGCGGCTGCCAGTCCGTCCGAGGGGCCCTAGTTGTTGCCTTCGCCGCCGTCGTCGTCCTGCTGGTCGCTCGTCCAGAGCGTTAGGTTGTCGCGCAGGAGCTGCATGATGAGGGTGGAGTCCTTGTAGGAGTCCTCGTTGAGGGTGTCCAGCTCGGCGATGGCGTCGTCGAAGGCCGTCTTGGCCAGGTGGCACGCCTGCTCCGGGGCGTTCTGGATCTCGTAGTAGAAAACAGAGTAGTTAAGGGCCAAGCCCAGCCGGATGGGGTGCGTGGGCTGCATGTGCTCCTTGCTGATCTCGTGGGCCTCGCTGTAGGCCTTCTCGGAGGACTCCACCACCGTCGCCCGCTTCTCCCCCGTGGCCACCTCCGCCAGGTAGCGGTAGTAGTCCCCTTTCATCTTCAGGTAGAAGACCTTGCTCTCGTACTGGGTCTCGCTGCAGTTCTTGATCAGGTAGTTGTCCAGCAGGCTCAGCACGTCCTGGCACACCGCCTCCAGCTCCTTCTCGATCTTCTCGCGGTAAGCCCGCACCATCTCGATCTTCTTCTCGTTGCCGTCGGCGGAGGTCTTCTGCTCGATGCTGCTGATCACGCGCCACGAGGAGCGCCGCGCCCCCACCACGTTCTTGTAGGCCACAGAGAGCAGGTTGCGCTCTTCGTTGGAGAGTGGCTCGTTCAGCTCCGTCACCTGCATTTCGGGGGTCAAAGGAAGGGGGGAGGGAAGGAGGAGGACACAAGACACCTGGTTAGATCCTCCGCTCTTCACCAGCAGCCCTTCCCAGGTCTAAACACAACACAACTTTGTCAGAGTAGACAATTTCTGAATGGCTTTCACACCATGGTCGAAACTATCTGAATGGGGAAGGATTGGAGAGGGCAGGGATATAGTAGGCAAAAGCTATATGTGTCCTATGCATCCATGTAAATAATTATGTGGTACTTACTTTGAAAGTAGTTGATCTAATCCAAAAACGGCATAATAGAGGTCAAACTATGTTTCTGTCTGTCTGTCTGTCTGTCTGTCTGTCTGTCTGTCTGTCTGTCTATCTATCTATCTATCTCTTAAGAGTTGGACTGGATGGTCCTTGGGGTCCCAACTCTCAGATTCTATCTATCTATGAATCTATCTATTGATCTATTTATCTATCATCTATCTATCTCCTGTCCATCTCTATCTATCTATCTATCTATCTATCTATCTATCTATCTATCTATCTATCTATCTATCTATCTATCTATCTATCACCTGTCCATCTCTATCTAACTATCTATCTATCTATCGATCAATCAATCTATTCATCTATCTCCTGTCCATCTCTATCGATCTATCTATTGATCTATCTAATCTATCACCTGTCCATCTCTATCTATCTATTGATCTATCAATCTATTCATCTATTTATCTATCTCCTGTACATCTCTATCTATCTATCTATCTATCTATCGATCGATCGATCGATCGATCGATCTATTGATCTATTTTTCTGTCTATCACCTGTCCATCTCTATCTATCAATCAATCTATTTATCATCTATTCATCACCTACCTATCTCTATATAGGTATGTATGTATGCATTGATCTATTTATCTTTTATCTATCCATCACCTATCCATCACTTATCTATCACCTATCCATCTCTATCTGTTGATCAATTTATCTATCACCTATCCATCATCTATCTATCTATCTATCTATCTATCTATCTATCTATCTATCTATCTATTTATCTATCTATCTATCTATCTATCTATCTATCTATCCATCCATCCATCCATCCATCCATCCATCYATCCATCCATCCATCACCTGTTATCTCTATGTATCTGTGTACCTATCTAGCTATCTGTTGATCTATTTATATATCATCTATACATCACCTATCCATCGCTATGTATGTATGTATGTATGTATGTATGTATGTATGTATGTATGTATCTATCTATCTATCTATCTATCTATCCCTCTATCTATGTATCTATCTAGCTATCTATTCATCCCACCCTCACTCCATCTATCTGTCTGTCTGTCTATCTATCTATCTATCTATCTATCTATCTATCTATCTATCTATCTATCTATCTATCCCCCCTCCCTCTATCTATCTATCTATCTATCTATCTATCTATCTATCTATCTATCTATCTATCTATCTATCTCTTCTATCTATCCATCCATCCCACCCTTGCTCCATCTCTCTCTCTCTCTCCCTCTCTCTCTCTATCATCTATCACCTATCCATCTCTATCTATGTATCCTACCTACCTACCTATTGATCTAGTTATCTATCATCTCTCTATCACCTATCAATTTCTATCTATGTATATATCTATGTACATGTATCTATGTATCTATCTAGCCATTGATCTATTTATCTATCACCTATCCATCTCTATCAATCAATCAATCAATCAATCAATCAATCTGTTGATCTATTTATTGAGATAAATACATATAGATAAGTAGATAGATAGATAGATAGAGAGAGAGAGATAGAGAGAGAGAGAGAGAACCGGATGCTCTTTCATCCCAACAGGATGCAAATCCTAACTAACCGTAAACCCTAGTTGTGCAATTCTCCGAGACCTTGCAAGGAAGTTCCAGGCAGTGATCAGTATACAAAGCTAATAAGATGGCATGCGGGAACCGCGAAATGCATAGCCGCAGGCTGAGAAAGCACTGTGTGTCCCGTACAGCAAGCACTGCTTGGGGAGAGACAACCAGCAAGACGGACACGTTCTCTGCAGAACTAGAAGCAACGCAATGCCTCTCAGATACCAAACAGAGAAGCAGATGGCGAAAACAGAAGAATGGCCTGCCTAAGGGGAGCATGATTGCTCCATTAATTAATGTTCAACATTTAGACAAATGGCCAGCCACTGCCAGAAGAGACAGAAAGTTTCATCTATGCTGACGATCGTGTCATCACCATTCAACCAGGGAGCTTCGAAATGGTTGAACAGAAGCTCTCCAAAGCTTTAGGTGGTCTTACTACCTATTACAGGGAAAACGAGGTGATGACTGGCACAACTTGGACTTCACAACAAGACACAGTGAAAACATCTGACTCACCCAACGTAGGCTTCACAACCAGACACAGTGAAGACATCAAACAGGCCCAACCTGGGGATCACAACCAGACACAATGAAGACATCTGACTGTCCCAACATGGGCTTCACAACCAGACACAGTGAAGACACCTGACTGGCCCAACCTGGGTATCACAAGGCACAGTGAAGACATCTGACTGTCCCAACATGGGCTTTACAACCAGACACAGTGAAGACTTCTGACTGTGCCAACATGGGCTTCACAACCAGACACAGTGAAGACTTCTTACTGGCACAGCCTGGGGATCACAACCAGACACAGTGAAGACATCTTACTGGTACAATCTGAGCTTCACAACCAGACACAGTGAAGACTTCTGACTGTGCCAACATGGGCTTCACAACCAGACACAGTGAAGACATCTGACTGGCACAACCTGGGCTTTACAATCAGACACAGTGAAGAGATCTGACAGGCCCAACCTGGGCTTCACAACCAGACACAGTGAAGACATCTGACTGGCCCAACCTGGGCTTCACAACAAGACACAGTGAAGACATCTGATTGTGCCAACATGGGCTTCACAACCAGACACAGTGAAGACATCTGACTGCCCAACCTGGGCTTCACAACCAGACACAGTGAAGACATCTGACTGGCCCAACCTGGGCTTCACAACCAGACACAGTGAAGACGTCTGACTGGCACAACCTGGGCTTCACAACCAGACACAGTGAAGACATCTGACTGGCCCAACCTGGGCTTCACAACCAGACACTGTGAAGACATCTGACTAGCACAACCTGGGCTTCACAACCAGACACAGTGAAGACACCTGACTGGCCCAACATGGACTTCACAACCAGACACAGTGAAGACATCTGACTGGCCCAACATGGGCTTCACAACCAGACACAGTGAAGACATCTGACTGGCACAACCTGGGCTTCACAACCAGACACAGTGAAGACATCTTACTGTCCCAACCTGGGCTTCACAACCAGACACAGTGAAGACATCCGACTGGCCCAGCCTGGCACTCCAAGTGGCCAGCTACTGGTCAAAGGACATTCAATATAATGCCAAGTTTGCAAACTTTGTGTTTGTTAAATACCTTACAACTGTACCCTTGGTTCGCCCCTGATACGATAAATAATAAATAATCCAACTATGGTGACGGACGACAAGATCTGCAAGATATTCTTGGCAACTTGCTCCAGAGGCTTGCACTGACTATGCAAAAGAGGGCAGAAGTTCCCTTCCAAAAGGGGTTCGAAGCCTCGCCCAAAATAGGGCCAAAGCGTCCCAATTCCCCAACACACACACACCTCTATTGATGCAAGTCGCACCAATAGAACATGAGTGGCTTTTGTACCTCAGCCTCCTGTGGGGGATCATATGAGTCCCGCATCTGCTCCTGCCCATCTTCCCGAGTCTCCAAAAATGCCTCTGAGGTTCGCTCAATGCTATGGACAACCAGCCGCAGGGTAGGTTTGAGGTGGCTCTCATATTAGGGGACAGGATGTCAATCTTAGTGTGATTGACAGTCTAGAATCGCATTGGCCTTTTGAGCTGCTGCATCACACTCTTGACTCCTCTTCGGCTAAGACTCCGACATCCCTTTCACATGGATTTCTTTTTCTCAAGCCAAGTGCCACTCGTGCTATCGCTCTGCATTTCACGCAGGCGTGTTGGGAATTCCCTCGGCTCTGCCTGTCCCAGGTTGAACCAAGTCGTAATTATAGCCAAAGACAACGCCTGCCAATCCTGTCTGCTCCTCACTCATCTCTGGATTCAAAGGATCTGTGACTGCTTCATAGTATCCGAGAGTTGGAAGGGACCCCAAGGGCCATCCAGTCCAACCCCCTGTACATATGGTTCAATCAATCAATAAATCAATCATATAATCCGAAAGCTGGAAGAGACTCCAAGGGCCATGCAGTCCAACCATTGCATGTATGGTTCTATCAATCAATCAATCAATCATATAATCCAAAAGCTGGAAGGGATCCTAAGGACCATCCAGTCCAACCCCTGTATGTATGGTTCAATCAATCAATCAATCAATCAATCAATCAATCATATAATCCAAAAGCTGGAAGGGACCCCAAGGGCCATCCAGTCCAAGCCCTGTATGTATGGTTCAATCAATCAATCAATCAATCAATCAATCAAACAAACAAACAATCATACAATCCAAAAGCTGGAAGGGACCCTAAGGACCATCCAGTCCAACCTCTGTGTGCATGGTTCTATCAATCAATAAATCAAACAATCCAGTCCAACCCCTGTATGTATGGTTCTATCAATCAAACAATCAATCAATCAATCAATCATACAATCCAAAAGTTGGAAGGGACCCCAAGGGCCATCCAGTCCAATCCCTGTATGTATGGTTCTATAAATCAATCAATCAATCAATCAAACAATCATACAATCAGAAAGCTGGAAGGGACCACAAGTGCCATGCAGTCCAACCATTGCATGTATGGTTCTATCAATCAATCAATCAATCAATCAATCAATCACGCATATAATCCAAAAGCTGAAAGGGATCCCAAGGACCATCCAATCTAACCCCTGTATGTATGGTTCTATCAACCAATCAAACAATCAATCAATCAATCAAACAAACAA